ATCCGATGCGCCTTCTATATGGTTTTGCAGTCTCTGTATATTCCCCATTGAGTTGTTTCCCTGTTAGTGTTCCTATGCCATCTGGTGGTGATTATTAGCAGAAACCACTTGTAGCATAAATGGGTTCTGCCCGACACTAATTGACATGTGCATTCGCCAACACACACTCATGCAGACAACAACTTTGTGAGCTCTGCGAGGCCATTATGAAACAAAGATTTTTCCAAAAGCATAGTTAACTACTGACTAAACGAAGGAAGGAAACAAGCAAGACTTCCAAGGATGGGAGCCCACAAGGTTTGTGTGCCTTTTAGTTGAATCAATGGTCTTCATAACTTTTGTCTTTCATTTATTGTTTTGTGATGCCATTTGTATTTATATGTTTCATGTCCGTGTTTGTGACCAGTTCTCGCTGCTTGTCAAGGAATAAACCCTTTATTTTTATGGCCTTCGTGTCATGCTTCATGCTACATCCTGAGGGAGCTACACCTGGATCAATATTCTGATTTCTTGGACGTAGTATTTTAAACGTTCTGCAAAGCGCTTTGTTACAGCTGCAGCGGCTGTGAAAGCTCAATATAAATAAAGTTGTAGTGTATTGTATTATATTTCCTTTAGCGTAGCTCCATCTAGTGGATGCATAACGCAACCACAGCCAGTATTGTAGCTTCTATTCTATGCGCCTTATAATGCAGTGCACCCTATGTATGAAAACAGTTTTGAAACAGGCCATTCGTTGAAGGTGCGCCTTATTGTCATGTTCCTGTTCTTGGCCTGGCAGACTGAGCGGACTTGCTGGTTGCACACCTGCTGCCAATCTTGCAATTAAGGAACTCTGTATTTAAGGACCCACAAACTGCCTGCTGGTTGTCGGAGTATTGTTTTGCCTTGCTGCTTTCCTTGCTCATAGACCTTTGCTATAGACCTCGTCGTATTCGCTATTGATCTCTCGGTACCATTGGTTTTGTAAATATTGTTTTTGTTTGAGTGAGTTGGCTTTTGCTGCGTGTATTTGATACATTTGTTTTTCATTTGTAGTCTCGGGTTTGTTTTCCTTCCTTGCCTTGAGTGCAAGTGCTTTTTGTTATCGTTTAGTTTTTGTGCTCCCTGGTCCTTGTTTTTTGACCAGCGCTTTATGTTCCTACTTTGTTGGTGCGATTTTTGTACATTAAGCCTTTTTGTTACGGAGTCCTTGTCTGGAGTCTACAATTTTTTGGGATCCAAAACATTATTCGGTTTGTCCGAATCGTGACACTTATAGTGCGGAAAATGCAGTTTGTCCCTTTCATTTATCTATTTATTTTACAGCGGAACATTTTTTTCTGTGCACCAGGAGATTTGGATCTGTTGTTTTTTTTTTGTATTGAGTACATACAGAGAAAACAGGTAACAGAGACGTTCAGGCCGCGTGTGTGTGTGTGTGTGTGTGTGTGTGTGTGTGTGTGTGTGTGTGTGTGTGTGTCCACGGGCGCATATGGGTGTCCACGAGCACGTGTGTGTGCGCGTGCATGCGTCCTGCACTAACCAGCTAAATCACAAGCCGACCTGATCATTTTATTCAATGTATGCAGTCAGTTATATTAGTAAGTGAACTTGCACTCAAATGGTCTGTAAAAAATAGATTTAAATGTGCACTGAATGAAAGAAACTTCATCTTCAAAATCATATGACAGAAACATTCAATATGCCGTAAAATGGATGATTGCAGAGATACAGTAAGTTAGGTGTGTGATCGGTTCCCACTTTGACGGTGTGGATATGCGTGTAAATGGTCGTTTGTCTCTATATGTGCCCTGCGACTGACTGGCGACCAGATCAGGGTGTAGTCTGCCTTCTGCCTAAAGTCAGCTGGGATAGGCTCCAGCAACTCCCCGCGACCCTGTTCAGGGTAAGCAGTGTTGAAAATGGATGGATAGACAGCAAGTTAGTTTATCAATGTCCAGACAACAGAACCACAGAATGCTAACCACCTGTACCCATCTCTGTCTATCGAACTTTACAAAAATGAGTAAACTACAGCACAACATCTGTTTGCTGTCTCCAGTGCATTGAAATATAAGCACTCCTTTGGGACTGTGAATGACATCTGAGGCATTTTTCATTGCAACAGCTCATTTAACAATGCACCAAGCAGACAGAAAGGCCCTTTCTCATCCACCTCTCCCTATCCTGATCACAGCCCAGCAGTGCACTCTTTAAGATGGCTGCAAACTGGCCTGTCGTAATGCATTTATGATCACTGTAATCTCACAAGGGGAAGAAAAAAAAGATTGCTAAAATGTCCTACTGTGCTCTGAAATTAGGCATTATAGGAAAGTTAAAAGCTTTTGTTAAATGCCAGGCACAACTATCTTACATGGTGAAAAAAAGATGCAGGAAATGGTCAAACTAAATACTTTTATTTGCTCCAATGCATTGAATAACCTTTTATAAAGTGCTTTTATATTGTAACCATCCACTTTGCATGCACATACAGCCAAAAAAATCCTGCAATTTCACTCAATCTTATTTCTAAGCTGTTTCTGCCGGAGAAAGATTTAAGGATGTTGAGCAATCAATTTCGACTGTTAAAAAAAAAAAAAAAAAAAAAAAACACAGGGTCACATGAAATATACAGTCTGCAGATGAAATAAAACAATGGTGGGCTCTGAATCTACTTCACAAGTTGATGCTAATAGCAGAAGCGAAGCATCTCTGTGGTCTGTGAAAATGACAAAGAAGGAGCCAAAGGAAAGCAGTTTGTTTTTCTTTGAAATTATTCTCTTCATGGTTATTGTTGCTCACGTACCGCATGCCACACACATACAATTTTGAGACAAGCGACAGCAAAATTGTCGACAGATTTTCTGCAAGATACAATTGCAACTTGAAATTCTTTAAAGTGGATAATTTCACATTTTTCTCCCCATTCACATCATGTTTCTTTTCACACTTGTCTTCCACGCGCACTATAGCCATGCTATTATGGAAAATGAAAATTATGTGGAAAATTGCAACATTAAAAGAGACCCTTTGGTCAAGGATAATTACTCAAGGGACCATTAGCAGTCTTTCAAGACCTACATAATGTTCACATTATTCTTTGTGAAGTAATGTCATTCTTCATCCTTAGGAACTTGCTTCATATGAAAGAGAGTGCATGTGAAATAGCTGCATTTTACAGTAACTCACAGCACCGCAACAAAGGGGATTGATGGCAGAATCCTTTTCTTCAAATCAAAAATATTGTGGAGAAGGTGGTGTGTCACATTGTCCAAATCAACCAAAAATGAATGCCTTCTAGATTGTAAATACTGTACGGGACATTTTACACGTTCCGCACATCATGGGTAACATTCAAGAACAGGACAGCATAATTAGACGACAGGAAAACAAAACAAAAACTTCCCTGTCTTGGAATCAGATTCAGTGAAGAGTTGAAACCACGATCATTTTACATCTGAATGATGTGAAAAGAAATTTACAAAGAAGGAAAGGTATAGTTCTGAGTATTAAGTAAGGGGTTTTGTATTTTCAGGGAAATGGAACACAAAATATACAAATAATACAAATAAAAGGCAGAGAGCAGACAGTAGGCAAGGAAGCTCTATTTATATACAGTAGTCCGTTTCATACACAAGGTAACTCAGTATGCTGCAAATAGTTACAAAGCAGCATTTAGAGGGTGGATACAACATTTCAAGGCAAACGATTTTAAGACATGTAAAAAAACAGAAGAATTTAAGACATATTCATGGACCATATTTTCGTAGACAGGTGCAACATAAAAATGGGTGCATCTTCATTTTGGTTCCAGGACAAGTCTAGTTTCCTGTGTTTGGGACCGCATTGCGCCTCTCAGGGCATTCTCTCAGACCGAGCTGCTGCACCCCTGGCACATCTGGCAATTCTGTGAATGAAAGTAGACTGTGCTCTGTGTGCATCATCAGTTTCCTGCCAGGACAATTGTAGTTTAGCATGTTTGTGAATTTGGTAGGCGTGCTATGTGTTGCTGGCCATTCCGGTGTACCTGGCTATCATGCCCCCGCCACATCTGGCAATTTAATAACAAAAAGTAGAACTGATTTTAGACATGCAAAACACAGGTTTAAATGGTGGCGTAGATGGTGTAGTGCATTTTTTTGTGGATTTTTGATTGAGGTGCAGGACCACAAATTCAGTGCTCCACTGACATGTGTGGTGGTCATCATATTTCATTCAGAAATATTACAACAACGTGGGACAATACCTCTGATTCATAGTAGAAATCAAGTAATTGAACAAATTATTATCGTTATCATCTTTAAAATATTTAATATCAACCCCCTGACCATGCAGCACAACAATTGGGGAGAGGAGTTGTATCACCCATGGACATGCCCAATTCTACTTGTGCAAATACTAAAAAAATACCAAAAAGATGTCTCACAGTATACAAACTCGGATTATTTAGTGACATGTTGTCACTCAGTACGTTAACCTTTCTCCCAGTCAGTGTCAGCTCTCTTCCGGGTTTTCCGCATCCAGCCTGGCTCTCTGTAGTTACTTAGTATTTTCATAGATAAAGACTTTTACGTTTCAACTTCCGTATCATGTCTGCTTCTGGGTCCGTGACATAAATGATCAAATGTTGATTATTCAGCACTCTAAATTCAGTTTAATAGCAAATTGAAGACATGAAATGACCAGTGTTTTTTTTTCATATGTGGGGTTTTTTTTTTTTTTTTTGGTAATATTGTTGCCACCAATAGTATCAAAAATACTCTGAAAAAACAATATAAATCCATTGTGAAAATAAGTCATTTTGTTCTTATTTGCATTCTACTGACGTGATTTTTCTAGTCAAGTTGCATGTGATTTCTAAAGATGTACATAATCATTTTTAAACGTTTTTCTCAGTGGGACCAATTAACCTTTACTTCAGGCTTTGTGATTACAGTAATAGCCTTTATTTTAGACTTGATTGTATTTACTCTAAACTCATAACTGATTGCACTGAAAAAAATAATAATAGAAAGATTTAAATGAAACCTGTTGAATTGAAGAATATCGACTTTGCCTGACTCTTTTCTGGTGACCTCAACACTGCACCCAAGTGCCTCAGGATGACCTTGGCGCTGCATATTCAGCTCCTCCAGGTTCATCAAGGGACTTCCCAGGAAACTAAACCAAGATCATCGTCGAGCATGTCCCAGAGGGTCGACATTCTTCATTTGGTACTGCCTGTTCAGGTCCTCCAGATTCCAAGCAGTTCCACTCCGGAACTAATTGAGTCTTCCGCCACAGATGCCTATCGGAAAGTGCAAGATCTGAACTTGTATGAACATGTCATTTAACCACAATCAGGGTAAGATCAAAGTTTGTGGAAACAAAAATTAAGTACATGTACAAATGTAGAGACAAGTAGTATCATATCCAATTGACATTGTAAAAAACACAGAAATGTGTGTAGAGGTGGCATTTTGCTCCTAAAATTTGAGACAATGCAGCTACTCACACATTCCACCGGTAAATTTGCTGTTTTTTTATTACTATTCTTCACATTTTTTGTTGCTTCACACTTCAACTCATTTAAAAGTAAAGTTGTGAATATGAGTGGCATGAATTTTTACTTTGCAACTTGACTTGCAGTATGCGCCCCTAAATTTTTGACTTAAAACCCTATAATTTCTGGTTAGGGGCCACTGTGCTCCTATTAAAAACTAACCTACATGTAATATCAGAGTTTAACACAAATGTGTGGGCTTTGCATGAAAATAAATAAATAAATAAATAAATAATTAAATAAATAAAAAATCTGAATAAGTTAATGTGTATACATTCTGTTCAAGATGTGCCCACAGAGATGTAGTGGCCCCCCAAAATATCATATCGGTAAGTGATTTTAGGGTATATTGGTAGTGAATGGAAATTGATGTCTGGGCCGTTTCGCTTCACTATCCTGGCAATCTTGAGGATAAGCGGTTCAGATAAAGGATGAGTGGATGGATGAATATTTAGTTCATCCATCACGAGTAAATAAATTATAAATGCTAAATTCAACAAGTGAGTATAAATTATTGTTTGAAAAGTAAAAAAGGTCATTTTTACATGTTACACACACAGTGCCGTTTAAGTAAAGGGGCATCATGTATACCTGGAATGCTCAGTGCAGTCCTTCTTTGGCCCTGATGACGGAATGATGGCGCTGTCTAAAAAGATCCAATGCAACCAGTTTGTGCCGTCTTCTTCTCCTTCTTCCGTTCCCTCTTCTTTCTACAACAACGCAACTCACAACAAACAGCGTTTACCTGCTTTGACACAAGAGCTGTATTCAGGAATGCGCTCGAACGTGAGACTTAAGTATTTTATTCCGTTGAATTTGTAGGACTTCAATGTCGAGTTCTCCCGAATCCACGCTTTAAGGTCTTTGGTTCGTGCGCTTAACTCTGTTGCTTGTGTCGGATCAGTTTACTAACTTGACATATCTGCAGAAGATGCCAACAGTACGGTAAGTAAGCGCTACAGCTGCAAGACCCGCATTGTTTGTTTGACGGTGAGGGCAAAGTAGAAGTGACGCGGACAAGTTGCGTTGAATTGTTGTATTTAGTGAAAGAGGGTCATTGTAATTAACCAGTATTCCTTTCACCCTTTACATTGTCTCATAAGACGAAGAAACAAATGGAAGACAACGAACTTTCGCTCGAGTAGAAATACCTACCTCTCGTGTTTTCAGAAAAAAAAAAGTTGTCAGCACCATTGGAAACTTAACATAGCTCCCCTCTGGCTTCAGCCACACGGCGCCATTTGTTTATTCTTATAGGCAACTTTAGACAAACCAGTGTCACACCTGTCCAAAACCTGAGATCATGACAAGTTACACAGTGTAACTTGTCAAATTCGAACATGTCATTGAATAGAGATTTTTGACACAAAATAAACCAGTCCTAGTTTGTTTTATTTCTGCACACAGGTCATTTTAAGCATAATTAAGTCTCAATACAGTTTGTATAAAGATGTCCCACATTTTCCATTTACGTTGGAAAACGCGTCATGTAATAAAACGCGAAAACATCTAGTCACCTCCTAAACGTGCAAAAGAGCCTCATTTAGGGGTCTTGTGAACTGTTATGGACGATATATTCTCCCAGAAACTATCATCATAAAGAGTAGTATCATTTTTTTGTTTGTTTGTTTAATGCCCTTAATATAGTGATGATGTTAGTGCAAAAACTATTTTAAGTGCAATCATCCTTCAATTCTCAAGTGTATTGAACATTTGCATTGATCTTCAACAGATATTAACTACATACTGCCTGGAGTGGGAGAGTAAAATGAAATGACCTTTATCACCTTTACAATGTCCTCTCTCTCCTCGCTACACAAGCCCGGAATGACAGTTTGGGACACCCACATTGTTTAAGCAATTTGACCTATCTAGTCTGCAGTTTAGTTAAACATGAAAGAATGAACAGCATTATTATTATTATTATTATTATTGGTTGATGTAATTTTTCATTTTCGCATTCAAATTAAGGGTGGTGTCGACGAGCATTCTTTGTTACAAGCACTAAGACTTGGTTCCAATTTTCAGGTCCATTTATGAGCCCTTTTCATTTTTTTGGCCACTCATACAAGTGTTTGCTTGAAGGTGAACCGTGCCTCGGCGCTGTGCGGCTTTAGTTGAATAACTCGATAACAATGGCAAAGAGCAGTTAACGGGTTGTTGATTACAACGCAGTACAATGGCTGACTGGCAACTCTGCATTCTTTGAATGACATCATTCCGCAGACATTGCCGAACAAAAGCGTTTTCGTTGTTAAGCGCGTTTTCATGGCTCTAACTATGAACCTGTGTTGGTTGCGTTACAAAAGAAATTGACAAAAATACCCTGAAAGTAGTTTTAGCTGTAAGTATTACACAAAATATGGTTGGCCAAGTTTACTTCACATTTGACCTTTAAATTCAGAAAAGATGGCTAAAAGCCCTCTTCAATGAAAGGAATTTTCCTTCCTGCAGGTTTTGCACAATTCATGCACTTCCATGTCTCTAGTCTAACCTAACAATAAGATGGAAAAAGGAGAATGTCTTTGATTAATGAAGTGCATAATTTCACATCCTTCCATTTACATCTTCAATGCATGTAATTAAAACATTAACACTACATTCTTCAGTTAAAGATAATTGCGCATGGAGCTCTTAGCAGTTTTATTTCAATGTCCTGTTAGCATTTTCCCGTTTCTTATAAGGCAATTTTGAACCCTCTTTCCAGGGAAATGGGACTTTGCAGAAACCTTTATGTCAAGAATTGCGCAATTTTCTATGAACATCATTAGGCGGAGAAAAAAAAGTAGTGTGTTTCCGGTAACCCGACCGACCGAGAATTTCTACGTCGAAAAAAAACTTTACGGTTGGCACTTTTTTCAAACAACCCTCTACATTTTTGTGTAGAGGGTTTACATCGGTGCAAACTCTCGCGATATTCACGTTGAGCGCGTGCGTCGTTTGCCCTGTCGTCTGTCAACAACATTGAATCATGGCAGCGGCCGCGATCTCCGACGACAGTTTAAACCGCGTTTTCTGTGTTACAGTCGCATGCTCGCACCGTAATGTTAAGAAAATAACATCCAGTGATGTATCGAAAAAATTCAGCGAACTATTTGATGAACACCATGGGCCGAGTAAAAACCGAGGGCGGAGGAGGGCGGCGGCAGAGGCGGTGGCGCGCCCCGGCCCCCTGAGTCCGGAGCGGGGAGAAAACTTAAATAGGCAGCGGCGGGGGTGGCGGGGGGGCG